GATCTGACCAGACATGAAACAGAAGCAGCCGCTCTTATTGTTTCTGGCTGCAAACCAGTTCATATTGGGAAACCCTCATCTCTGGAAGACTACCCACACTATTGTGTTCTCCAGAGACTAATCATGATTTCCAATGAACTGCCCGCTGAGAAGAATTTTTTAAAACACTGGGTACAAGACAGAATAGCTATGAGCTGTGTCGTATGGACAAATAAACAACTTCAGTTTCACTACAATCTTGTAAGAAATCATTCTTAAAAAAAACCCCACCTCTAACACCCCCCCCCAAATTTTTATTCATTTAATTGCTTTTCTGAAATAAAGTTCCAACAGTTAAGGATTTTATTCTATATTTAACTTCTTGGGAATGAACACATGAGGACTCACCTTCTCTCCTCTCTGCTCATTTAACATCTCAACTCTGCGACAGAGAACTTGAATGGGATCTTTTAACCGTCCTGATCCTATTAAGTCTTCTAAGTATTCAAGCATACCTTCATCATGTTCATTCTGGCCTTTTGGTTTCATCATTGCAATTTGTTCAACTTCCCCCTTTAAAAAAAAAAATCTAGATTCTTTAACTCTTAAAGGCCAGGGTTTTTGAGTAATGTTTCTTTCTGTGATGAATAGGATCCTGGGAAGCAAAGAACACGAAGGGCTTTACTATTCTAAGTCACTTATGTGATTAGTCAGATGTTATAAATTACAACATAGTAAGGCAGTAGTCATGTAATTAAATATTTTCCCCTTCTAAGATGATATGATGATGCGTGAGAAAAAAACATCTATCCTCCGTAGCCCACACTCTAAACTGAACATCATCTCTCTAAAACGTAAAAGGCACTTCTTCCTCGCCCGAGAGAAAACAAAATTAATACAAATGGCAACTTCATACTGTTTAAGACAGCTTTGGTCACTTAAACCTTTTGGGTGTCCAGATGGACTTTCACTGAAAAACAAACAAAAAACATGTAAACTTTCCTTACTATTACATATGAACACAGAGAAAATTTTATTAAAAGCATAGTAACAAAATATTTTTATTATAAAGAACAGAAAATTAGTTGTGAAAGAATTAACAATTTGATGTAAGGACAATAAACAGTGTATTGTTGCTCTTTGTGTGATAAACCTTTTTGTTTTTTAAAAAACAATTACATATTTCGCTATAAACTTGGAACAAAGATTACATCATTCAATGTCATTCAAATTACAGCATAATATTGAATCCCAATTCAAAATTATAAAGTAACAAAACAATATTAGAGATGGAAGAATAGTAAATACATTTATTATTTGTATTGCTATAGCTCTTAAGAGCTCATTGACAAGGACTCCATTATACTAGGCATTTTACATTGAGACCAAAGAGAGGTCCATGTCCCAAACAGTTTATAACCAAAGAGAAGACACAGATATGAAAGTCTATCTTAGAGATTATTATTCAGCAAAAGTCTGCAAGATATATGTAATTTGGATGAGAGGATCTACAAGGAACAGCAAAAGTGATACCTAAGTTAAGGACTTGATTAACATGCAGGATGGTAGCATTGCTCATCATGAGCTAAAATGGATATAGGAACCTCAATCTCTGTTTCAGCAATGTTTGAATTTGAACTAATAGCTAGATAGCCACAAGGACATGTCAGAGAGGCACTTCAAGATTTTAGTTTGGACAGACTGAGAAAAAATTCTTATTTCCTGTCTGCTATCACTGTCACTCAAAATTCTGGAAATCTAGACTACCCATAGCTCATGGAGGTGGATCAAAGATTTGGTGCCATATGTGCTGACTAAAAATCCCCCCCCCCCTTTACTCCTCTCTGCTTCTAGATGAGTTATTCCAAAGCAGTGACATAACTTGGGACTATAAATTGGATAGGAATTTGGGACGGTCAACCCACAAATGTGACTCCAATGAGGAAAAAAGAAAGTCTCTAAAGACTAGAAGGACTCTGCCAGCCTGAGAAAGCTGCCTTGCAAATGGAACACTGCTTGGATTTGATCCAGTGCTTTCTTGGTTACTCTATCATGTGTCTATAAGAGCAGAAAAGCTGGCAGGGAGACATTATAGCTGAAGTTAAGCAATCTGATGGCTTAATTGATCCTGAAGACCAACATAGGGAGGATAAAAGAAGCTTGACAGAAAAATTGCTTGCTGCTGCCTCCCAAACTGCAAAAATATTAAAGGAAAATAATAGAAGAAACAAAAGGAGCACTAATTGCCAAATGACTGTTGCTACCAAGGCAGAGAAACCCCCCCCCCCAAACCCTCTCCGCCCCACAGCTATGTACCTTCTTGTAAGTTATTCTTTGAGATGCATTGGCCATATCTATTCCAATTAGGTGTGTTTGCATGTGTAATGATGGCTGGAAGATTTTGCCATAGCTGTGCCTTGTAGGGTTGGTCTGGGTGCCCTGCTGATTTGCTTCCTCAGTTCCTTCTTGCCAAGTACTCCAACAGAGGTGAAGGAGGGTGGGTACTAGAATAGTCATGAACCATACATTTCAAAGAACAACAGTTACAAGAGGATACACAATCTCCTTTTCCCCTTTAAGTGCTTATTCCTGTGTCTTCCCATTAGGTGACTCTCACGCAAAAGTTTAAGAGATGGGGTTGGAGTCAACCACTGACTGTAACAGTGCTTGTCCAAAATGGGCATCAGCTCTGGCTTGCTGAATAATTTTGTAATGCAAAGTCAAAGTATACGCAGCAGCTCTACAGATTTCATGAGTAGGAACTTGGGCCAGAAAGGCAGTGGAAGAAGCCTGTGCTCTGGTAGAATGTGCTATGACTGGAGGTGCAGCAAGACCTGCTAACCTGTAGCTCTCTGACATAGGACATAATCCATGATGATATATGTTGGGCAGACACTGGCTGGCCCTTCATCCTATCTGTGACTGCCATGAATAGTTGAACAGATATACAGAACGGTTTAGCGTTCTTGATATAGGAGTAGGAGGCTACAGGGGTAGGCTCAAGTGAGTGCAATTTCTGTTCCCTGGGAGTAGAATGTGGCTTGGGATACAACATAGGCAGGAAAAAGTCCTGATTCAGGTGAAATTATAATGTTACTTTCAGAAGAGCCAGGTAAAGCCTAAGCTGGACTTTGTCCTTATTGAACATGGTCAAGGTTCCCTCTAGTGCAGCAGCACGGCCCCACGGCTGCTTAATGAGCCTTACCCAGGGGCTTCAGGGCTGCCATGCATAGAACTGCCTGGCTAGGGTAGGGGCACTTCTCCCTCAGCTATAGCAGCAGCTCCCTGCTGAGCACAGAGGATCAAGTCTCTCCCAGCTGGTAGGGAGGGGATGTGCCAAACTTCTAACTACCAAGCAATGAGAGCCTAGAACCTGTCCAGCCGTGGAGGCACCTCTGGGTTTGGAGCTCTTGGATGTAATGGTAGGTTTACCCTTGCAGTGCACCTGTGGGTATATAGGAACTGATGGCAGCAGAGACTTCTCTTGCCTAGGGAGACAGAATGAGACCAAAAGGTGTGTCAAGTTTTTGCCACTTCCAGGGCAATAGGGGCTCCCAGTGGGTTTGGGGAACTCTGTGGCTGTGGACTCACCTCCCGTTGTGGGTAGGAGTCAACACATGCCTAACTGGTGAGTTCGAGGACGGGCCCTCTTGGGGAAGTTTGGTCCTCCAGCTTCTTCCTTTTCTGGGGCACTGGTGACCGAGACAGATGCCTCTCTGATGGTATCCTCATGGGCATGTGATAGTGCCTGGAGAAGTCTTTCTTCAGAGCTGATGTGGTTGGCACCAGAGTGCTCCATGCTGAAGAGGTGCTTGGGCACTGGGTCAGATTGTGGGTGCAGAGCCAGATGTGGCAACAATCCCAATGGTGGCCATCACCCCAGCACTGAAGGCAAGCAGGCAGGAGAGAGGGTCACTTGAAGGAATGCGCTTTGCATAAACTCACAACTTTTGAACCTGGAGACCATGGCATACCATGGTTCCACAGGTTCTAAAAGGAAGAGGGGAGGGGTACACTACTAGAACTAGAACTATACTACACAACTATAAACACTAACAATATACAAATAACTAGAAGAAAAAATGGTACATTTATGAAAGCAAGAGCTATGGGATGTTTCAGACTATCAGTGATACTATGGGAAAATCTTAGTGTGTACATGTGCATACCTAATTTGCATATACACAAACAAGTACTCAAAGAAGAATATGGTGGCAAGAAGGAGCAAAAGGTACATGGATAGGCCAGGCCATGCAGTGCCAGCTCTTTGATCCACCATTGTGAGCTGCACCATAAAGCAGAGCAGTCCAGATTTGTAGGAGATGCTGTCCTGCAAAACCAGACAGATCAGAAGTAGATCTGAGAGTCATCAGCCCAGAGATGGTATGTCAATTGGTATCTGCAGATAAAGTTATCTGGAGATAAGATGTAGAGGAAAAAGAGAAGGGTACCAAGGAGAGAGCCAATTGGAATTGCATCAAAGCTGAATGGAGGATGATGATCCTCTGAAGAACTGATTATCAAGGTAGGAGACCTAGAAGAGGGGAGTTACAGAAGACATCATAGTACAAGATTTTAAGAAGAGCAAAAGACAACTATATAGTTATCTAACATCAAAAGAGGAAGATGGAGTACTCATTTTGAACTTTGGTAGGAAGAGGTCGATTTTGGTGAGAGTGGTTCCTTATATTTGGTACATCAACACATCTAGTGGCCTCACTTTTCTCTCACTAGAAAACATGCAAAACCCTGTGCAATTGAGCAAAAGAAAAAAACACACATTGTGTAGCCATATCATATTAATTTTACATGTCTAGTTACTTATTCCTTTTCCTGAACATAAAACTCCACATGAATACTGAGCAACGCTATAAAAAAAATAAACGCATACAAACTTCATGTTAGTTTTCTGACTTCTGTTTTTAGACAAGCTAATACTCAGAAGCAGTTGCTCTCAAACTTTTTGGCCTGTGACCCATGTGTCTCAATGCAATCCTTTCTGTGGACCACCTGTTGCTAATGGAAACTCGCCATTAACTTCATCAGCAGTTCTCAACTGCTGATCTGTGGCGGCTGCCAGAGCTGAAGCTGGCTCCTGTGTGGTGGCTCTGGGGGCCAGATCACCTACTTTGGTGGACTGGAAACATTTATTTGCATATTCATCTGCATAATTAACATGCAAATAAAATGTTAGCTGTTCGCCAAAAGTTTGTGAATGGGTTTGCTGGTCCACGGTATAAAAAAAGGTCGGGAACCACTGAATAAGATGGTTACTTACCTCGTAACTGTTCTTTGAGATGTTTTGCTTATGTCAATTCCATTTAGGTGCGTACATGCCGTGTGCATGATTTCTGGAAGCTTTTTACCCTTAGCAGTACCCTTCGGGCCAGTCGGGGGCCCCTCTGGAGTGGTACTAATATGACCGTGCATATATTCACCTGCTGACCCCCAACCCCTCAGTTCCTTCTTGCTGGACATTCTGACAAAGGGGAGGTGGGCGGGATTGCAATGGACATAAGTAACATCTCGAAGAACAACAGTTACAAGGTAAGTAACTGTTTTTTCTTCGAGTG